TTTGGAGAGAAGCCCCCAGGCACCCTCCTCCTCCAGGCAGGCCCCCTGACCTGCACAAAGCGGACCCTCTGTAAACAAACCCACTTCTCACCACTCGAGACACCAGGGTTTGTGTAGCTAGGAGTACGAGGCAGTGTATTGGGGAAGGTGGCTTTGCTCATTTGTGGTAGTGTTTTAAGTTGCATGATGGAGTTGTTTCAAATGCTACAGAGAACAGGTGGGAACTTTTGCATGTGGATGGCATCATCGTGGAATGGAATAATCTAGATTCTGGTTGCCACTTCTCTGTAAAATACAATGGTAGACCATGTAATTTACACTTTGTTCTTTACAGAGAAAGCAAAAACATGTTCAGAGAGGTTTTTTTAATCTGTACTCCTGAATCTTTATTGAAATTGCATTTACTGTAATACATGTTAAGTTGGTGAATATTAATTTCAGCTGATTTTTTCCATTGTCTGCTTGGAAATAATCTTTCATGCTTCCTACATGGAGAAAGGCACTACAGGTTTGGTTTTGTTAGACATTTCCTTTCTTCCTAGCTACTGAGACATTTTGCTCTTTCTTGTCTTGCTGTGGCTAAGAGAAGCATACTTTGCAGCTGACTGCCCATCTTCCTGCAGTGCCACTTCACGGACCTGGAGAAGCCACACAGGAAGGGGACCGCGGCCGGCAGCCATATGCAGAGCCCCAGCCAGGCCCTGTGATGAGCTCCCGTCAGAAACCATGGCAGCTGCAATGGGAGGCAACAGGCGCTTCTGGGTGGTGCTGAGCAAGGGTAATGCTCTTCCTGCGAGTTTCAGGAGTTCGTGTTTTGGTCTCGCTGGTGAGATTTTTTGCAGGGCTTTTTGTCCGACTTAAATGCCAGGTGAAGGTAATAAGCTGAGGTAAGTGTTTATGGTGGTGTTTTCTCAGGGTGCAAAGGGCAGTTACACTTTGATGCACTAGGATTGCAGGTAGAAGTGGGCTGCTTTTCTGTGGAAGAAAAGCACTTGCAGGGCCTGGTTGCTCAGACAGTCAGTGTCACCCCAGCTCTGAACAGAGGACAGACTGTTAAAATCCTTAAAATGTTGCTGATGAGCTTTTTTTCTTAATGTGATACCGACCGTGCATTTCAGCTTCCCATTTCCCTCCCACCCCAGCAGACTCCTAGCCTAGCTGCCATTTTGCATGAGCCTAGTCTAGCCAGCTGGTGGGGTGTCAGGTATCTCCTCTTCTAGAAAGCATTTGCTGAACTACAACTTTTTGCAAACCTCAATTCCTGTGGCCTCTTCCAAGGTTGTTTTTTTTTTTTAAAAAAAAAAAAGGTGTATGATCCAGGCAAGGGTCAGCCAGGCAGCCCTGTCATAAAGCAGGGTGAGCCACAGTTAAACTTTGGAGCTGTGGGAAGCCAAACGTAACATTTCAGGTCAGGGTGCGGCTCACTGTTATCTCAGCAGTACTAGTGGTAAAAGGCTGGGCTTAAAGCACCATAAATCCCAGCCTGTTGACAAAGTGGGAAATTGCAGTTTAACCTGAACTCTCCTTCCCCTACTCTTGTCAATGGCGAGAGAGAACATACCATCAGCACTTCATGTGGAATGCATTGCTCCTGGGTAAGCAGCCATTCACACCGAGTCTGTGCTTCTGCACACTGTGTGCGTCAGGGTGGGGAAGAGAAACTGCTGTCCTGGTGTCAGGGTGTAATAAAGAATAAGGCCGGTTTGTAATGAAGTATGCGTATGTATGTACTCATTGCTGACTAACTAACTAGCCTTTAGAGCTAAGAAGGAAGCAAAGTTAGCCAAATGAAGGACACCAGGTGGATTCCTCCAGTCAGACTGTGGGGCTCAAGGAACACAAAGGATTGAGCAGGAGAGATAAGGAGGGCAGCTAGCAAGAGCTGGTTCTGCAGTTTGGAAAAGACCCAGGATGGTACAGAGCATTCGCCACAGGACAAGTTCAAGAGTTTAACCATGAGGAAGACTCAGGTCTTCATCCCCAATGACCACCAACAACCACCAATGGAGGCATAACTTGGGTGGACTGAGGTGGGACTATGGGAGGAAACTATGTTAATGAATTCCTGAAAAATTATTAGAATAACCTGACCTTTTCTTAGAAATGTAATAAATATGTATAAAAGCTGCAAATACAAGACAAGAATCCTAACGCTTGCGTGTGCACGTATGGAAGGAGCCATCCCCCATGCTGCCCAGCGCCGCAATAAAGAATACCTGCTTAATAACACTTAGTTGTTATTGAATTTTCTTCAATTCAACTGCTTCTCTACGAAATGTGGAAGTGCATCCAAAACTGTCAGTGACTTGCACAGGGCTTGAGCGGTTAAATATTTGGAACAGGGTAGTACCTCATAGAGGGAAAAAAAAAAAAAGGGTAAGGATTCAGGTAATTTTACAATAGCTGGTCTACGTGGCTTCTGACAAGCACTTGGAGAATCTCCCTAAGAAGGAGCAGGGATCACACTTGCTGCAGATGGAGAAGAGAATTAAAAGCAAAGATACCATCGTGTCTTGCTGCCTCCTTATCTGGGGCTGCATGAAAATGGAGGAGAACAGTGAGGGCTGGAGTCCCTCCATCACAGTGTCATGGCACAGGGTTCTGACCCACAGGGAGCCACCCCCTGATGCAGATGCCTTTAGCTGTTGCTGGCTTTGACTGAGAGCATCCCGTTTTGCCCGCTGCGCCAGTGGGCTGGGGCACGGGCTGTTCTGGGTGTCTCAGGGATGTTTCAGCCACCCAGGAGCCCCTGCCACGGCCCCCTTTCACCACCACACTGCTCACCTGCCATTGCCCAAGCCTGGTTGTGAAAACAAGCAGATCGGCTCAACTCCTTTTGCTGAAGCCTTTTCATTGAGGAAAGGGAAAAGGTCAGAGTGAAGCACCCTGAGGCGCTCTTCATTTAGTCTGGTCTGGGATCCGAGAAGTATGTTTTTTCTTTGGGGAAGAATGTTGGAAAAATGTCTATCCCAATGAATGCACATCATTCAGAGCTGTTCTCCCCCAAAAAGCAACCACATGTGCATGGAGTTAAGGGAATAAGACAGTATACATGCAACCATTTTTTTAAAAGATGAATAGCAGTCTACGATTTAATTCTGGGAAAAGGAAAAAAAAAAAAATGTTCTGCTCTGCACATGTGTTAAGCCTGTAGTCATGCCGACAGGGCACAGCTCCTGACCTCCCCCTCCAGTTACTGTTACCTCCCACCATTATACTTGCTCACTGCTGTCTGCCAATAAGAATCTCCAAGAGTGAGAAAGTTCAGTTTCGCCTTCCCCAGAGCCTCTCTGTGCAGGGTCCCAGTCAGCAAGGAAGCTTGCGCTGACAGAGGCTGCTCATCAGCAGGTTGGTTCTCTTAAAGTATGGAAACAGTAAAAACTCATTAGCCTGGGAAGAGTGGGATAATAGTGCAAAAGTAGATTTTTATTTCTTTTCTTCCTGCTCAGCATGTAATTTAAAGCAAACTATATGGCAAATCCTACTTGGGGAAGGGGGGAGGCTTTTAAAAAGCTATGCACAAAAACTGGACTATGGAAAGGTTACTTCTTTGCTGCTTTCTCCTGCTTTATAAATGCAGTTATATAATTGCATTAAAGGAATCTGGCTGGTACTTTGCTTTCTGTTTAAATTGGGCTCTCTCTTGTCTGTATGTATGCTCAAGAACAAATTCCTCTTAGCAAGGCTGCTTAGCTCTATGTCTTTTCTGGTAGGCTCTGAGGATGTGCTGGATGTAGCTGCTGTCCTGCCAGAAGCTTGGATGTCAGTCACTTTTATATGTTGCTGCCTGGTCTCCCTCGGTATTTGCTGTCCTTTTCAATGGCGTGTGCTATTGGTGGCGAGAACATCTTAATGTAGCAATCTCTGCATAACTGTTTGCAGCTAAGAGAGAAGAAAGTATGTGAATATTACTCATATACAGAATACTGTGCATTTGTAAAAGTCTAGAAAGTACAGAAATTTACCATGGGTCGGTAGTATTGCTGTGGGTCAGCAGAGGGTGCCCCCCACCCGCATTGCCCACTTAATTTCAGTTTCTGTTCTGGCTTCTGAGCTCAGGAGCTGTGCAGGGAGGAGCCTAACCACCCAGGAGCATGGTTCTACGTTTGCCACACTGCTATTTCTAAGAAGAAAAAAAAACCAAACCACAAAACACCCTGCAACATCAATTTGGAGCAAAAAGTCTCAACAAATGTGAGCAGGCAGTTTATCTTAGTTTTTTTTCTTTCCCCTTTCTTCTATTTGTGCATAACTAGAAGAACTTGGCCTCAGGGCAAAACTTTCTTTTGATTGTTGTCTGAGAATGTTTTGTGCTGTCTTTTACTTGTCTGGGAAAATAGAAACTCAGAGATTTTTGTGGGGTTTTTTTTAGACTGGAGGCTTACTGGTTTTCAAGGTTTCCTTGCTTCCTTAATCACAGGAAGGCAAGGACTGGGGTTCAGACTTGGGACATAGCATTGAGTTTCTGCCTTTCTGGCTCTCTATGACAAGAAACCAGAGATACCTGTTTTCTAGTATCTTTCCTGCGTGGAGTGCACCTTCCCTACAAGGCAGTGCGGGACGACGGCTACTTCCCGCATGCTTTGTACCCATGCCAAAGCGATCTTCTATAAAATATGCCAAGTTCAACAACCAAAATGCCTGAGTCACTGGCTTTAGCCTAGGTTCACTGCCCAGCCCTGCTTGGCACAAGGGAAATCGGTGAACTGTGTCTAAGCACTAGCGAAGACTTTCTGGGGTGGAATGGGGAACGTCAATGGTTCCCTGATGCTATTTTGAAGGCTGGATAAAATGGCAGAAAACACAAAAACCTTGAAAAGACACAAATACTGGTAAGATACGGTTATGCTTCATCACATCCAGCAACAGCAAGGGAGCTGGGCGGAAGTCCACCGGCTGAAGAGCGATGTCAAGTGGCTTGGTTGGGGGATCGGAATGACCGCAGTTTTTTCACTAACTGTCCTGTTCCCCTCCTGTCTCTTTCAGAATAGCAACTAGAAATGGCTGCCCAGTCCGTCGTGACAATCCAGCCGCAGTATGGCATCGTCGTGCCCACTGTCTCAAGGAACGTGTGGCAGACAGGGCTGATGGACTGTTGCGCCGACTGCAGCGTCTGTGAGTGCCTCAGGGGGTCCTGTCTCTCAGCCGTCAGCAGTGACATGCTGTGGTCGGTCCCACGCCCTCTCGGGACACTTTTCTCACCCCTGCCACTTGGGTCGGTGGTGCGGTAGCTACAGCCACGTAGTCAGGTCCTCTCAGTTCCTCCCCTGATGCCAGCGATGCTGGGCGGGCAGGCAGAGCCTCACCCACTGCTGCGTTTCTTCCCCTGCCAGGCTGCTGCGGGTTGTTCTGCTTTCCCTGCCTCGCCTGCCAAGTGGCCGGGGACATGAATGAGTGCTGCCTGTGTGGGACAAGTGTTGCCATGAGGACCCTTTACCGCACCAGATACAACATCCCGGTCAGTGGTTAACCCGCCTGCTCACCGTGCTGGGAGGCTGAAAGATGAGGTGCCCCCAACGCCCCTCTCTTCACACATCAGGGACAAGCATGGGACAGCAGCACTTTCTACTCACCTTTTTTCACTTTCCTATCCTGCATGATGCCAGGAGGAGAGGACAGGGGTTGGGATGCTCTCAGCCCTGCTGTTCCCTGGGCTGGTGTCCAACAACGCATATTAATTGGACTCAGCTCCTTCCCACCACCCTTACATGTCCTGCCTTCAGCTGCTGCCGACCACAGCAGCTCACAGAGCCTCAGCTGCTGCTTCCCTATGCCATCCCCAGTCTTTGAAAGATGGGAAAGATTTGAGATAATTGTGGGCAGACTTAAAGAATAGGTTGTCAATTGCACAGATAAAGATCTGTAATCAGATGCAGGAGAACGGTGGACGTTCGGACACAGTACATATGTGAAATGGTTTCTTCCCACCGGAGGTTAGTTCTGTCCCCAGTGCAAACCATGGTGACCCAAGTCCAGTTTGCCCAAATTGTGTCTTTCTGTGTATGTCTTTCCCTCAAGTCATCTTTCCCTCAAGTCTTAACCTTGGAAGCCAAAAGATAAGTAGCCATCTGCAGCCTGCAGAAAGGGCTCCCTCCTTCCTTTCCATGGTGTTGGGGTGTCTGGTACTCTGCTGCAGCCAGCTAGGAGACAAAGGGAACACAATGTGGAATGTGATTAACCTTTTCTTGGCCAAAACATGGCTTTTGGGAAGCCTACATACCTAACCTATTTCTTCCTAACAGGGGTCGATTTGCTCTGACTCCTGTATTACCACTTGGTGCCTTGTGTGTTCTGTTTGCCAAATTAAGAGAGACATCAACCGGAGGAAGGAGCTGGGCATATTCTGGTAAGCTGGGTGTGCTGGCTCTGGTTTATGAAGCTGCCACTGCATGCAGCCAAGCGGCTTCCTGGGGTCTCTCCTTCTGCCGACACCTGATGTAAGACACAGGGTTGCTGCAGTGGGGAAATGGCCATGGACAGGTGACAAGAGCGACCTGTCCTGCAGCAAAATGTTGCTGGCAACCTCGTGCAGGACAGAGGGGGAAGGAATGGGGGGACACCATACCTGGTGTGGTGAGGCACAGCCCTGCTCCCTGACCCTCCTCTCCTGTTCCATTGCAGATGTTGCTATCCTTGCTGTGACCTGCAGAGGTGTTGTGGGCAGGAGTCGTCGCTGCCCTGGCCCTTGGGAAACGCACCACAGAGGATTTGCCTTGATTACAGTTGATCCCCCCTTCCCTGAGTAGTATGAATAAACAGCAGAGTTCTCCTTCCTGCCTCTGTGTGTGCCCCTCTTGCATGGCCTGAGAGCCCCTGTCCTTTTCCAGCTCCATCCATCTCAGCTGCCCCTGGTGCCGCTGAGATTTCCCTGCGCCTACTGCAGAGAAAGATTTTCACTATTATTTTGTTATTTGCTCAGCTTTTAGTGTTTAATACATAGGAGGAGTTGTTGTTGCTCATCCAAGTTGTAAAATTTGGAAAAGTGACTTCTGCTCCAGGGCAGAGCTGGGGCTTCCCACAGGCAGGTGATGGCTGCAGGCCACTGAGTGCTGAGTTGCCCCTGCTGTGGTGGCCCAGGTGGCCGTCCAGGGCTGCTGGCCAGTCCCACCTTTCTGAACATAAAGCTGTGGGGATTTTTGGTTGCCTGGCACCAGCCCACCTCCTGCATTGCACAGACATACTCCCCTACGGACCCTCAGCATGAATTCCCATCTGTCTGCGATTAAAAACCTGGTTGGGTCATGTGTTGGCCAAGTCATCTCCATGGGCAAACCCTGCCTGCGCTGGGCTGTTCGTGATATGCTCTTCTTCCAAAAGGTGGAGGTTACATCCATCCTCTCTCCATCACTCTCGGAGAGATGCTAAAGGATTTTTGATCCCTACAAATCTCCCCCAGCTTCACTCTAAGGAAAACAGGATATTTTTTTTTCACCTCTGCCTTCACCTTCAGCACAAACATTGTGAAGGGCAGGTAGAGGCTTTGTCAGTGCTGTGGGGTGGGCCTGTGCAGCAGCATTCCCACCTGCCTAAACCCCAGATGGCCCAGGCAGTCCAGTGGATGATCCCTGGAAATACAGAAAACTGCATTTTTAGCCTAAGAGAGGCAAAAGCCAGGAATGTGGAGAGGGGGAGAGAAGAAATACCATGCTGCCATCTCATCCCAGCACAGCGTGGTATGATTTTGTAGCTGTACCTCGAGGCAACATCTGTGTCACCCAGTGGAGTTACAGTTCGTTCTTGCTGATGGTCAGGCTTAATGAAGGGAAGGCACTGCACCTCCAGCAGCAGATGGCTAAAGGCAGCACAGGAGCCTGAATGCAAACTGTCCTCTGAAAACATCTACTAAAAGCGACATGTCCCATCGGGGCTCTGGGCCTGCAGGATGCTGGGGTGGGGGAAGACGAGGAGTGGGGCAGCAGGAGACCGGTAGAGGCGGCAGCAGGCTGGCAGCCAGTTGCCTTCGGCAGGGAAGCTGTAATTGCGCAAACCAACACCTAAGCTTGCGTCTAGTCTGTCAGTCAGAGGGAGCAGAGGTCGTTTGCCAGGGAGCACACAGAATATATAAAGGACGAGAACCAGGAAAAGGACACATATCTCCCAGGACAAGGGCGTCTCAACAGGTATGTACAGCTTGGCTTTATTTTCATACCAGAAACTGCTCATGGCTGAAGTGGTGTTGCAGGGGAAGGAGTGGAAGCAGATGTGAAGTTTTCTGCCTGGAAAACTACTTTAGAGCTAAACCAGAGAGTGCTGGGTGCTGCTGATGGGCATCTTGACAGAAGTGGGCAGCAGAGGTAAAGGATGGAAGCTTTTGCACTCTATTGTTCATTTGTGCACATATACATGTGCCTATACATAACAAAATGCTGCTTGGTTATTGGTGAAATGTGGCTGCACGCACCTCAAGATCCCTTTCCTATCGGCTGTTCCAACACCTCTGGTGGTGCCACAGAGCTGTAGATTTGGGGGCACCCGTGATGATATGCTGGGTGTTCGGGGCACGGACCACCTCTCAGAAGATGAGCGTGCAGCGGAGGCTTCTCCACACCGCAGTCTCTGTCTGAGCAGAGATGTGGTGTGTTTGTACTTAAGGAGAGGAAGGCAAAGTCTGTGATCATCCCTGCCTGCAAAGGGCACAGTGTGTGTGTGGCGGTCAGCACTGCTCGGCTGCATTTTCACCACACGCTGCTATTAATCTCGTTATCTGGCAGGTGGGTGAGCCTGGCGGGGTCCTGCCCCTAAACCTTCTGCTGCTCCTCCCATGCACACTTCTTCCCGTGGTCCCTGCCATGCTGCCTGCTGCTGGGCATCCCTGTCCCTGCGTAGGACCCCTGTGCTGTCTCTGCTTGGTATCCCCTCCACACGGCTGTCTGTGGTCTGCCCCCTCCCTTGTTCCTCCTCCGTGGTTCTTGCTTCTTAAATCATCCCTCGCCCAGGCTCCCTGTGAAAGGGAGAAAAAACCAGCTCCCTGCTGTTTTGGCATGCTGTGGGGTGTTCCATCAGCTGCAGAGGTGGTGGGAATTTCCCGGGACCTCGTTCAAGCAAGGACAGCTGGCTGGGGCAGTGGCAGGAGATGTCCAGCGAGGGATGATGGGTGCCGTGGCCCCGCTGCACCCATGGGTGATGGGGTTTGCCTGTGCTTGCTCTTAAAGTCCCTGCCAACAGCCAGGTGACTTGCTCCAGAGAGGGCACAGCAGGATATTTACTGCTCAGCAGCCCCGTTCAGTAGCAGCAGGAAAGCACCCTTGTGTATTAACCCCCGACAGGGGCTGGTGACAAAGGCAATCCCGCAGGCTAGCGGTTCGCCCTTCAAGGCCACTCATCACCTAATGGGAGCAGATATCAGTGCCTCAGATAGGGTCAGTCACGCTTCTGTTGCCTGCAGAAAGCTGCAAAAAGTCATGAGCAAATCACGTGGAGACTTTTTACAAGCTTTCTTCCCTCTTACTGCGTAATGCAACATCCGTTTTTGTCTCCAGGTACTAGCAGGGTACAAGGGTCGGCCATAAGGCAACAGGCTGTGCCTGACAGCAGAGAAGTGTTCGGGCCAGCCCATAAGTGATGGGGAGCCATAGGAGCTGCCAGCAGAGCCACTGACCCCTTTGCTGCCTGTTGACATCAGTCAATACAAATGCAGTGCCACAGCTTGTATCTCTCTAGTGTCAGACATGGGTAATGCACTTGGTGGCATCATCTGAGTGCATATATTTATTCCAGCATATTCCTTATGTTTAATACTTAATTTCTGTGTAAATGTGTAATTCTGACATGAAAACAATCCCATTCCCTTTATGGTGTTTAAACAGAATTTACGGGGATTAATGCCATCATCCCTTGCTTCAAAACATAAATGCTTCCCCTGTTTTTCTTTTTGCTCTTCCCAGTGTCTCAAAACATAGGCAGTCCCTTGTCACACAAGGGCGGGGGGTCATTGGCTGCTTAGGGGGCACCCCCCTGGCCATCACCCAGACATGCAGTGGTGCTGCCTGCGCAGGCAGGACAAACATGTCAAAGCTGGGCAGGGACAGGCAGGACACAAACTGAAGGTGCTCTGTTAAACACCCGTAACACCCATTGCAGAAACGGCCATGGGCTGTGTGAGGATGTGGCGGCTGGAGAGGATCTCCCCAGGACCTGCCTTGGGACCCTTCCCAAGCAAAGGAGCAGCAGCCCACGGTTATGAGGTCCAGAGCTCAGGCTGCTTTCCCGCTACGATTTCTTTGCTGAGGATGTGTGGCTGTGCGCTGGGAGTGGGCAAGAGCCCTTGTAAGAGCTGTAAGAGCACTAGAGCCTTTGCATCTCATCCCTGTGCTGCTTAACAGAGCAGTGCTGAGCTTGGGCACAGGTCAAGGAGTGTGTCTGCATGGGACTTTCTACAGGAGCATCCTCTATTTTTTTTTATTTTTAATTAAAGCTCCAAAGCTGAAGTGAGAATGGCAGAGGGTGGTGCCATGCTTTGCAGGGGTTGGCGGGGAAGGGAAGGGACCACAGGTGGAGATGGAGGTGGGGATGGGGATGGAGATGGAGAAAAATGGAATTGTTACATGGGTCAGGTGGGTTTGGGGATAGTGCTGTGGAGCAGGAGCTCTGCTGCTCTCAAAGGCTGCAGCCTCTTGCTGGGGAAGGATGGGCAGGAGCAGGGCTCCAGGGGCCTTGGTGGCCCCAGGAAACTGAGGAAGAAGAGGATGAGGCACTGGCACAGACAGGCAAGTGGAGAAGAGATGGGAACTGGTGGCTGGGCTTGGGGTGATGGAAAGGGACAAGGAAAACCCAGTGCCTGGAAGCCTGCTAAGGCAAGCAGGTGAGGAAGGAAGGGAGGGGGGAGGTGAACAGGATCAGGGAACAAAGGAAAGATTAAGGTGACAACTGAGAGCTTGAGAAAGCTAGGACTGAGCTGTAGTAGCTTTGGGACACTGGGAACATAAAACACCCCCAACATTTTAAGCAGATAATGATGAAAGATGAACTGGGGATGAGAAGACAGGATTGAAGTGTTGAAGCACTGAGGCTCTGAAGGAGAAGGACCTCTGTTTTTACATTATTTAATTTACATAAAAATATTTACATATTTTACTTTATTTGCATGGGCAGGAGGGCGAGATGCTGCTGCTTTTGGTGGGGCCTGGTTTTGGGCAGAGCTTTGCTGCAAAGGACAGTGGCAGCTCTTGGAAGAGCTGTGCCCTCCACTTTGAGGTGGGGGTGGCAGTGCCCTGGCAGCGGGGACCCTCAAGTACCTGGGCTGCCCTCTCTGTCTTTGAATGCAGCAGCCTGAGCAAGACACCCACTTCAGAAACACCTGCAGCATTTTTCTCTGATGGCTTTTTCTTCCAGATCACGAACTGCCTGGAGGGACCCGATCCCACATCGTCAATGGCCTCTCACCATTTAGTCACAGTCCAACCCCAATTTTCGGCTGTCTCGCAGACAGGCAAGTGGCAGTCGGGGCTTCTGGACTGCTGCTCGGACTTCAGCGTGTGTGAGTACACATATACCCCTCATTCCTGGTGTTGGCTCACAAGGTGCTTCTGGTATTTTCCCTGCTCCTTCTGCAGCAATGCCCCTGCTGCAAACCCCACTTTTGTGGGTACCAGTGGTGGGCCAGCTCTTGTCTGAGGTCAGGAGTCATGGCTCTCACAGCCGCATCCCTGTCCAGCTTTTCCCCCTTTCCTCTTTCTTTGCACAGCTCAGCCAAGCCTGTGTCTCGTCCCACAGGTATTTGCGGAACCTTCTGCCTCGGCTGCCTGGGGTGCCAAGTGGCCAGGGACATGGACGAGTGCTGCCTGTGTGGCCCCAGCGTGGCCATGAGGACACTCTACCGCACCAGATACAACATCCCGGTCAGTGACCAGCTGCAGGGCCTGCCCTGCTGGCAGTGACAGCCACTCACTGGGTGCTGGGGTGGGGCTCAGGGAAGGAGAAGGGGGTGCCGGAGGGGAAGAGCAGCGGTGGGGAGTTGCATGGGCAGCCCTGCAGGCAGGGAGACAGGGACACACCTGCATCCCTGCTGTGAGCCGGAGGTAATCCCATTGCACACCACCTCATCCCAGTCCTCTCTGGGCATAAGCGACAGTGTGCTGCAGTGCAAGGGTGAGCTGCCCGGGGGTGTTGACAATGAAAAATAGGAAAACTTAAAAGCTGATGTGGAATTCAATCATACAATGTCCCTTGCTCCACAGGGCTCCATTCTGCAAGACTGGGCCACCATGATGTGCCTCCCTATGTGTGGGCTCTGCCAGCTGAAGAGAGACATCAACCGAAGGAAGGAGCTGGGCATATTCTGGTAAGCTGGGCGTGCTGGCACTGGTTTATAAAGTCACTGCTGCACAGAACCGAGCAGGTTCTCAGAGTCTCCCTTTCCACTGATGCCTGACTTAAGACAGGGTGTTGCTGCGGTGCCCAAACAGCAATGGCCAGGTGAAAGGGTTACCTGTCCTGCAGCAAAATGTTGCTGGGAACTTGCAGGATGGGGGATCTCCTCAGGGCCCATCACCTGGGTCCGGCAACACCCACCCACACACAAATAGTGTGGCGAGGCACGGCCCCGCTCCCTGACCCTCCTCTCCTGTTCTGTTGCAGATGCCACCATCCTTACTGTGCTCTGCGGAGCCGCTGTGGGCAGGAGTCACCACAGCCCTGGTCTTCAGGAAACATACCGTGGGGGGTTTGCCTCGATTGTGGTTGATTCCCCCTTCCCTGGGTAACACCAGCAATAAAGAGAGTTTGTCTTCCTGCCTGCGTGTTGTTATTTATTTCTCTGTGCCCTCCTGCAGCACCAGAGGACAGCTTTGTACTTTTGTATGCTGTGTTGTCAGAGCAATGCTGAGGTTTTCAGATAAAGGAGACTTTCTCATGCAGACCCACACTGGGATGAGGCCAGACCATGAAGTTCAGTGGGAAGATAAAAGCTGTCCAAGCCTGCTGTGGACAGCTCAGCTTCTCTGTTGACACTGGCAGCGCGCAGAGCTGGTGACAGCATCACCCTGCGCTCGGAGAGGTTCGAGGGCACTGAACGCATCCCTGTTTCTGCCTGGACCGACCCCAGCACCGAGACACAGAAAGCAGCACTGGGAGAGTGATAGTGATGATGTGGGGATTGCAGACTCGCTCAGCTTCCTCTGCACAAACCTTGTTAGGAGCCTGTTGCGTGGGAGCTGTTTCTCTGTGGGGTAAGACCCCTGCAGCTGTGGGTGTTGGGTGTCATGTGCTGCGGTGGAAGAGCTGGGTCAATCTGCACCTCGCTGGGGCTTGGGGGTGCAGGCGTTTATCCATTACCTGCCATGGCAAAGAACAGGGAAGAGGTAACCCTGGGCCTGGGGTTGCTCTGCAGCCAGCCACCAGGCACTGGCTCAGGTTGGTTTAAGCTTCGTTGCTTTTAACAGAAAATGGTGCTTTTTGCCCAGAGCAGGAAGTGGGCTGGGACTGCATGGGGCCCTCGGGCTCTGGCACACCTGTGCTTCTGCCCTGGCACCTTCAGAACAGTAGTGGGTTTTATTCAAAAATACTTTTCCCACCCTCACAGTTTCCCCACTGCAATGCCCATTGCATTTTCCTCAGTGGCCTCAGCACTACCGCATCCCTGGCATGAAGGGGTGAGGCTGCGCCCCTGCTGACAGCACATACGTGTGTGTTTGCACACATGGAACACGTGCATAGAGAAGGAGGAGAAGGTGGTTGTGGCATGATGACAGCTTGAGCTGGGAGTTGACAAGTGTGTGTGTCTGCTGTGGGGACAGATGTCACTGTGCTGGTCTGTGCATGCCCCACAGGCATGCTGGGTCACCTCTGCTCACTCCGGGCTGCTGGTCCCAAATCCCCATCACCTGCAGCCCACCAGGCATGGAGCAGGGGGATGGGTCTGAGCCTCCCCTCGTGGCACAGGCAGCAGTGTGATTTGGGGTGGCCAGCTGAGCAACAGCCCTGCTGCTCTAGGAGCTCATGGATGAACTGAGAGCACCTGAGGTCAAGGTCTTCAAGGCCGCCAAACCATGAGTGCTAGGGTCCCCCCTTTCCAGTGACAGGTGAGCCCTGTGTCCCCAGCATGAGGCTCCTGCAGACCCCCCTGCCCACATCTCCCCTCCCACTATGATGGTTGTTATGGGATCCCTTAGTCATTGGGGGCGCTTCTACCCCTTGGCCCATCCTGGCAGGGGCTGCCAGGACCCCATGGCTTTGCCCATCCCAGATCATGGGGTCTCCTTTCCAGGGGTGTTTCTACCCCAACACACGCTGGATTTGGGCCATTGGGACCCAGAGCTTGGGGGAGGGGCACCAGTGCCCACCTCACCTGAGGAGCGTAGAGGGACGCAGGAGCTGCAGGCGATGCCTGGTGAGTGCCTGAAGTGGTGACCGGACAGCCCTGCACCTGACTGCACCATCAAGGCTGAGCTGGAGGGACTCGTGCTGCTGGCTGCGGCACAGGGGTCCTGGGGTCACGTACCAGGAGAGGTGCTGTGCCATAGGGGTGGGAGGCGGGCAGCGCTGCGCCCACAGCAGAGCCCCGTGTGCTGAGGCTGTGTCCAGCTGTTGCTCAAGAAAACCCTGCTGTGGGCGGTGGTGTCGGTTGTTGCATCTCACCCAGACGTGGAGCGGTCTGACTGTTGCTGGGGGCTGTGGTGCCCATCCCTGGGCTGGGCTGGGGGCTGTGTGGGGTGGTGGGAGGTCTGCGGCACCACATGGCGTGTTGCTGTGGGCGTCCCGGTGTGCCTCCCCCTGGGCTGGCTGGTGCTGAGCACCACAGGGAGCTGCCATGGGCAGGTTTCTCCCTTCTCTGAGGGTGGTTTCTGTGCGCAGAGCTGGCCCTGCTGGGGATCCCCTCCTCTGTGCAGGGGCTGTGGGGTGTGCATGGCTGCACCAGGCTGAGCTGGGTGATGCCAGTTCGGGGCCTGTGTCCCTGTCCCCGTGGGAGCCCCAGGCCAAGCTGATTTGGCTGCACAAGTGTCACTGACACAACCTATGAGGGTGACATGACCCTCAGGTGTGTGAAGGTTGCAACAGCGGGTTTGTCGGATGCAGTAGTACACAAGGACACAGAGGCTTTGTTCCTGTGAATTTATTACAAGTTACTAAAAATCATGACTAGTAAAGCAAGTACATACTTGTGATCACTTACATATAGGTGCACCTCTAGGTATTATTTGAGGCATTACCAGCCTGATGCTTCCCAAGATGCTGCCAGGTGTGGGGATGATGGAAAAGCTTTATCACAGGTGATCTGCATCATGGAGTCAGGAGTCAGCCAGGCATCCCTGCCAAGCAACCATCCGTCGGGGAGATCTCTGCAGAGCAGCTCTCACAGAGAAGCTCATCTTGGGTAGGTACCATGTTACTTCTAAACCTTTTTGGTGTAGACATGTTAAGTGAGTGAAGGACAGCACTTGACAGAGCAGCTGTTGCTGGAATGTTAGCTCGTTGTCATCGCAGTTTGTGCATCCTGGCTCACAGGGAGGTCTCATCAGGGATGCCTGGGGCTCCCAGTTCAGCACTTGTCCCTCTTGACCAGTCCATTACTGGGTCACCTCTGTGGCTGCTCCTGCAGCTGGGCTGAGGGACTGCTGGAGCAGGGCTGGCTGGGCCAGGGGGATGCACACACTCCACAAACATGGGGGTGGGGCAGGCAATGCCGAAGGGGAGTCAGCGCTGTGTAGGAGCTCCCGCAGCCCCCCAGCCAAAGCCCCTCCTCAGCAGTTTTTGCCTCATGTTTGAGGGGCTGGGAGCTGTGAAAGGAGTTCAGGAAAGGTGGAACCAGAACTGTCAAGGTCTGACCCAGCTGTACCCCGTTGGTAGCCCCAGTGCTGCTCTCAGTTGCTTTGTGCTGTGCTGAAATGCACCCCGTTTAGCAGAGGGGTTTGAGCAAGATGCTTTTTCTCACCTGCTCTTCTGGGGAGAAATGTGACTCTTCTGGCTGAGGAGGGGGACAGGCATCTCCTGTGGGGTCTCTGGGGCTGGGCTGCACAGCCAGTAGCTCTTAACTGTTTTTTCTCCCCTTCACAGGGAGAGAGGAGACCCTGCTGCTTCGCGCTGCTGCCTCACCTGCACCCTGTGACCCTCGCAGCAGGGCTGCCCCAGGACAGCGGGGGGACCCCCACCTCACTTCTGCCCTTGAGAACAGGACCGGGAGAGACCCTCCACACAGAAAGGGGCACATGGCACGAATTTAATCTCTGAGGGAAGAGGCTGGGCTTCCCACTCACAGAAAGATGGCTTGCCTCCCTGCTGGGGAGAGCCCTGCCTGTGCCCACCTGGCTCCTGGCTGACAGCCCTGTTACAGGGCTCCTGGCTCCCCGGCTTGTTACAGCTCCAGCTACTCAATGCTCTGGATAAGAGATGCTCCTGGTTCTTACAGCTACAGGTATTGTTATTTCAGCTCCTGCTCCAGATAACAGCTCTGGCTACTGCAGAGTTGGGATATGAGATTCTCCACCTCTGGCTAATAGAGGCTCCAGCTATACTGCAGCTCCAACAGGTGGATGCTTGGGCTTCCCCAAGTTTCAGGTAGTTCCAGCTTTCTGCTCCTGGATGCTCCAGACACGAGGTGGCTTGTTACAGCTCTGGCTGATGGACACTTGTATTTCATGTAATTTCAGCTCCAAACTGTAGCTGGATAAGAGATGCTCCTGCTGCTTCCAGCTACAGATTGTAGAAGCTCCTTCTTGATATCAGCTAACTGAAGCTCTGCCTAACTACAGCTATGGCTTAATAACTGCTCGTTCTTGTTAAAAGCTACTTAAAGCAGTCCGGGCTTTTGGCAAAGCTGTAAATCAATCATTTTCGTAACTTGAATATTAACTGTCATAATTGTACGTTGTCGAAAAATATTGCTTATTTAATAACTGTTCTAGTGGTTATACAAACCTTGACTAAAGAGTTAGAGAAAAGCAGCTTTCACCCCAGAGACCAGCTCAGATGTTGAGCTTGGCCTGATGCATGCCAGCTTCCTAACTTGGAGAATCACCACGACCAGATCTGCACCTCTGGGGGGGTGGGGCATGCACCCTGCTCACCCTCCTTTGTGCTCACCTTGCCCCCAATGTGCTCCCATTCCACTGCCTCACCTGCCTGAAGTCCTCCCAAGCCTCTGTTTTGGGGGCTGAAAACTGCCAAATGAGCCTCCATTTCCAAGCCCCCAAACCACACAACCTAAGTCTTTTTCTGAGCTTCAGAAACACAAGGCTCTGCCCCTGCTTTTGAGACCGAAAACCAGTTGGCAGAAATTGTTTCCAAGGCCTCAAAACACAGCATCATCTCTGTGTTCAAGCAATGAAAATGTAGGACTTTTAGTCTCTAT